CTGCACAGGCTTTGCCACCTGGGCGGCTCTGTCACCAGCGCTTTCTCAGGATTCTTGCAGGGGACCGCAGGTTTTAGTCCATGTGTCCATTTGCCAGGGTTCCATTTTGGGTACCTATTTTGACCCACACCCAGTTCTGCTGCTGGTGATGCTGATGTTGGTGCTGATCATGCCGGTGGTGCTGGTGATGCCAGTGATGCAAAGGGATGCCAGATGCCAGTGATGGTACCGATGAATCTCACGCTGGTGATGACAGTCAAGTTGGCTAGCCATCGCAAACAGGGGGCTGCCAAAACAAATCCCAAGACATAAGACACCTGGCTGGGTTTCTCCGCAAGGCTTGCAGATAAAGAGCAATATCATATCGGACTCGACGTTTTAGCCTTTTGTCTGTTGTGATTCAGGACTTTACCAGGGTTCCCAAATGCCTGGGGAGGGTGATACTGCTTGAAACAGGGGTAGCTGTTGAGGTAGCTGAACAACACGCTCAATATGAAATACGGCTGCCCTCTTTTTGATAGTACCTTTTGTTGGGCTTGTTCATCGAAAGGACACCACGAAATGGCCCGTTTTGAGACAATCCCATATCTTTTAATCATTCGCCTCGCAAACCAAATCCGCGCATCGGTGTGTCACTCGTTTGGCCCAGGCACTTGGACGACCTCCTCCACGTGCTGGGGCACGGGGATGTCCACAAAGTGCTCAACCTGCCGCGTCCCCAAACTCCGAGTGCTGGACATGGCCGGATTCTGCCAAAATCAGGCCCGCTTGCCTGCGCTTCTCTTCAACTTGTGCGTTGGTCGGCTTCATGTTTAACGAAGAACAAAAACTGGGGTGCTGTATTTGAGACATCCGCAGCTTGACATGTGGCGTCATCTTTCAATTCGAATCTTGCAGCAGTTCGACTGCTGCAGTGTCTGCAAATATACCTGGGAATGCCTGGCAGTGTATCTAAGCATTGTAAGACATCTGGTCAATAATTACCGTCGTTTGAGCTGACCAACTGCAAATAGAGCTAACACACTTTGGCCGTGAGGTCAAAGGCATGGCCCCTTTGCCGGACACGGGGTCGCGTGTTTTCATATCCGCGCGGCGGAACACGCCGTGCCCCCGTCTCGCCTCTCAGCCAACCCCGCGCCCGCCTCACGATGCTGCCTCCGGGACTGCTGCACCACTTTGGGCACCTGCCGAACCTGGCGCCGCTCCCCGAAAAGTCGACGGTCCTCTGAGGTCGTGGGGATATGTTGTCTCCCAGTTGGATGGTTTAGGTTGAATTGGTTGAACCCTTTGGTGGATGGATTTCTGCCCAACTGAAGGCAGCTGTTCGCCTCGCAACGGCGGTGCCTCCTTTCTTCTTTGCGCTCAAGCAATCCGGAGTACAAACAGGGTTCATGTTAAACCTCAAACTGAAACTTGACCTCAACCCTGCAGGTTCGTTCAAATTGACAGTCTGAATGCCACACTTGATGGGCTGACAATAGGAAATCCGAGCCCATATCAAAGGAATGAGAAGAAAAACGGTCAAACATGCTCACGCGCTCCGCCCTGGAATGGGGCACCGTGCGAAAATCACTCATTCCAGATGGACACCTGGCTTCCTGATGGCAAACCTAGATTGATCAACGTGGAAAAACTAGCTGGGCACCGTGTGAACTGGCCCTTCACTTTCGGGACTGATTTTTATCACGTCTCCTCAGCTTAGCATCACCTCACGGAAAGAATGTGCGAGGTTGACTTTGCGCAGGGCACTGAATCTTCCCACAAATGATTGCATGGCCAAAAGAGGGCATGCATTCCAGATTTGAGGAAGATGATTTTTCCCTCGCAAAAGGGATCGATGCATGTGTAATTGTTTCATCTGTAGGGAATAGGCCAGCCAATGAATATCAGTGAATCAAAGCATACAAACGGGCAAGAACCTGCAAGAACCCAACTCCCCTGCAAGCTGACATTCGTACCCTGGTGGCCGCAGGACTAGATGTTTGACCCAGTAGTCTGAGCCTATATCCATCAATCAGAACCGATAGAGGCGTAACAGCTTTGCGCGTTGCTCGCACGGAACCTCGTTCCCTGCACATATCCTGAATCAACCTTAGGGCGATTCAGCCGCACTGTGTTTGGGTGATCCTAAATGGGTTAAGTGGCTTCCTTTCGGATGCTACATGATTCGTGAGTTGGAACGACTCACGAGCAGCTTTTCGAGACTGGCTGCCTCTTTGGCCGCAAGGGCGGCCTGTGACCCGTCTGAAACAGACGGGGGGGGGGGCCGCGCACCCCGAATCTCTGCAAGGCCAACGTCCAGCTTCGGCTCGCTTCACTTGGCCTTGTTACACTTGAAGGTGCACATATCCCATTCGGTACGCAGAAGGGTGATATCGCAGGTCCTTGCAAGGCGCCACAGGTCTGCTTTGTTTTAGTGGAAGTGGTATATCGGCCGGCAAGAGTTGGAGAACAGCTCAAAGGTGAAATTGAGTGACCCGAGTTGAGTGGCATTTGATCATTCGTATTGCATGGTTCCCCTTTACAGGTTTTTGCCGTGGAGTTTTAAGAGGGATTGGAATGTCCACTTACATCGCGCAAGAAGACTAGCAAACCAAGCGATTCAAGTTCCGGAGATTGAGCTGAGTGTTCTTTTTGAGGGTACCATTTCTGGGCTGTCTAGGGAAACAGTCCATTTTGGGGGTTCCCCCTATTTTCAGACAAACCCAACTCCTGAACACAAACATCTCTGAAAGGGAACCTTGCTTACCGAATTAAGGAAACGAGCACCTCAAATGAGATTTCTCTGCTTGCAAGCCCAGCTTTCATACGAGGGTGTGTCTGATCGAGGGGAATCACCTTTTGTGGGTGGTGGTTCAAAGGGAAACGGGAAGGAAACCATGTGTTTGGAGGGTTCCCCCATTTTGAGATCCAGAAACCTATGGCTTTCAGGACGTGGCATCAGGACCCACGTATTCCAAAGCACCAGGCTGACTGCAGCCCTCAATGCGCGAAGATTGGCGCCTGGCGTGGGGTTCAGATCGAGCGATTGGTTTAGAGCCCGGTGTGAGGTCAGGATTGGTGGCTTCCCATCCGCAAAGGTTCAACCCCCAAACTATGAATCCAAGCCACCGATCAAGGGCAACCTCTCAGATGGAAAAGGTCCAGGTTATTGCCTCGGTGACCAACCACTTACTCAGTTGCATCAGCTAGGAGCAAGTTCATGCTCAAACACACCCTTCGAAGAGATGACTCTCCATAGCCAGTGATTGCTGCATCTAAACTCGGTCAGGGGCACGAGAGTGCCCGTTGCAAGGGATGCCCTTTACCCATGGTCACATCATGGGTTAAGACCATGGTTGGCAGGTAGCAACTGGCAAAGGGCCCCGGCACCTCAGGAAGAGGGCGCTTTAAGCATCCAGAAGGCACCTCAAGAGCCCGGAGCTGCCGCCATGTGCGAGCGTGGGGAACCCGGGCGGGCCCTTTGCTTTGAAACTCATAAACCATATTCTTTTGTTTTCACGTGTACCATGTCTAATAAAGGCCAACCTTTACTTGACATGTGTATATATATATATATATATATATTAACATGCACCCCGCCCCGTTTCTGTCGGTTTGCCTGCCCTGAGGAATGCTGCCTGATGACTGGGGAAACCTCTTCCACTAACCAGAGCGTGCCTCAACAGCCGCTCACATCTCTCTCCTGCAGGGTTGCGTAGCCATCAAACTGTTTGACCCATCTCCTTAGGCATTCTGACACGAACCCCCGTCCTCAGTTGCCAGGTGGCGTTTCTTTGGGGACACATGACTTGCCCCTTTGGGAAGCGGTGGGGTCCTAGGGCAGGGCAAAAAAAGCAAAAGGGGCAAAGGAGGCAACTCAATGAACCGGCAGTCTGCCTCACCAGTCTTGCAGCATCCCGTGTCAGAAACTCAAGCCCCCTCCTCCTGGCCCTGCATGTCGGAGCACACGTTCTCCCCGTCGGGCGGCGCAGAAACACCTCCAGAAAATGCTGGGGTGGAACTGAATGTGCCCTGGAAATAGGTCGGGATCATCGGCTCCAGGCATTCATGTGACCAAAAATGGATCTGTACAAGTAGACCGTCACACTAGAATTCACCGAACTTAAACTCAAACCAAAAAGCGGCCTTCTGTAGCTGGACTCACCGTGCAAATGGATCCCAAATGCGGCTGCATGCTATGATGCAAGTCATTGTCAACCCAATCTGGGTGAATTATATATATATATAGCACTTCACCAATTCGAACTGCGACACCCCCTTGGTAAGGTTGCAATCGTCCGCCCAGAATCCATGACTTCTTCCAGCGGAGTTGTCGGCCATGACATGCATACGCCTTGCGCAACTGCAATGCATGACTGGCAAAACGATTCCTCTCGGACATCCACAACATCCACACCACCGCCCCTGAACCGCGCTGCGACGTATTCAATGCAATGAATTTCGACTTGGAAGGCTGCAACTTGTTGCTTGTCATTCTGTTTGGTTAACTTTGGTTGGTTGTAGGTAGGGATGGAGCCAAGTCTCTCCCACAAAAAACACATTCGGGAACAGAAAGGGCTGTGCAATAAAGACACACATCCACACGAGCAAGGTGTGGTTTTGTCAGCCCTCGACAAGCCAGCAGCTTTTAGCTGCGCCAGGACTCTGGCGTCTACCGCAACCATGGGTGCCAACTCGGAGGTGGCGCCAACTCAGAGATCAGATCTGTCGACGTGGGACCCGTGGACGCATCCGATGGCGAAAATGGCGAAGCTCTCAGCGCAGCTGCCAGCTTTCCAACACCTTGGAAGGGTTCACCCGGGTTGCAAACCAAACATTAGAGGAGTCGGATTGGCAGACTTTCCTGGTTGGACATCTTTGCTTACCCCAAGTCTCATACGCCTGTTGATTGGTTGTGGACTCCCTTTAGATTGGCATTCTTTCCCAGACACCGAGCCTTTTAGAGCCCCGATTCGCAATTTGAGAAACACCCGCCTGGCGCTAATAGAGGCTCCGCT